TTAGCAAACGGCATAAAACATGATTAAACATGATAGTATATAAAACCATGCTCGTACAACCTATAGAAATGCAAAAAGGCGTCAGTTTAGACGTAATTCTGTCCTCCTGCTTACCGCATCATTTATGAGAAAACATTTCATAACATTAACACAACATATTCGAGGTGGTTTTAAATAACATATCCGTATTTATTTATTTCTCCAAGTTATGTTTTTGTGTGCACTGAGGAGTCTCAAACAGGCGTTTGTTAAATAATTTTAAGATTGGCTTTGATCAATGTTTGAAAAATGAATTCTTCATATATGATAAATGACAGGTAACATTTTATTTATGGTCTTATTTCCACATATTTCTCTCCATTCTTCCTTCTGCCAACGGTGTCGCAGTTTCTCGTCTCTCCCGTTTTTGTGCTTAGTGCGTACGCATGGGTTAGAGTTTGCGTGGAGGACCGCACGTTTTCCCGTCAAGTTAGTATTTTATAAATCTCAAACATTGCGTAGAAACTGGCGTACGCCATTTTTTGAGCGTATATCCCTTTATAAATTATTGGTCGTGCTTTTTACAGTATACAGCTTCCACAGATGAATTTTTTTAATCTATTTTTTGTCAAAGCACTTAATTTATTCATTGCTATCGGGATGTTAAGAGCATTCCAATGAATATAACAAACAGTGTATCTCGAGCCGGTTTCTCAAACGTACCTATCCCACCTTTAACTAATTCGAAAATATCTTTTAAAAAAAACTAAATTATCAATTTTTTAAAGCTATACTATACTGCACTATGCATCTGTTCTCATACTTCTGCTGCTATGTCATCTTAGCCTGAACATCGATTTTAATGGTGATTTTTCTTTTTATTGACAAAGCTTTGAGTGTCTTAAAAACTATTTTTTTGCATGGCCAGACACCACTATTTAAGTAAAAAATGTAAGTGACAAAATATGTCTTAATTAGATGAGCTGTGCCTTTAAAACAACTTGTCAACCCTCCTTTCACTGTAAGCTACTCGCTATGCAGGGTAGAACAGTATGATTATAGACAGGATGCAAATAATCTTCGAGTTGCATATCTGTAAAAAAATTAGTGCTCATGCACTAAACTACATGCCTCTAGTTTAAGTCCAGCTCTTACCTTCTTCTGATGTGTGTACATTGTGTGTGTGCAGATTGGTCAGTGGTTGGCAGCCATGTTTAACTACCTGAAACACATCCCACGCTACCTCATCCCCTGTTACTTTGATGCCATACTGGTGTCCACCCACACTACCGCTCTGGATGCATCTCAGAAACTCATGTCCAGGTAGGAAACAGGAAATATGCTTCATTAGGATCTGATATTACGGGGGCCGACAGGTGCAAACGCGGTGCAATGGGCCAAAACACTTCCATTAGGAGAAAGTGCTGCACTTTCAAAACACAGGCAAATAAAAGCACATCTTCACCAACTTGACGATCCATGCGCAGCGGTTACTAAAAGCGTTGCATAAATCGCATTTTTCCCTTAATGGAAGTGTAACAGGTTTGCTCCTGCCGGCCACCGTAGTGGCACTATTCTAAAACAGTTTTTGCAGTTAAGAGACATGTTGGACAACCCCACTTCCTGTCTCCCTTCAGCTGCTTATATTCTCTCTCTTTGTTCAAACAGTTTCGTCCAGAATGGCTCCAGCTTCGTGCGTTACCTGGCACTGGGGTCCGTTCAGATGTGTGGCGTTGGAGACCTGCCTGCCCTCCCTCCCCTTTCTACGAAACTTGACAACGTTCCCTACCGCGTCAGTCCAGTCACAGGCCAGAAGGAGCAGTGCTGCGTCTCATTGGCTGCAGGTAGCATAGCAACAGACGCTTAATGGTGTCTCTGTAGATAAAGTTACAATTATTATGAATTATTATTAATAAAAGTGTGTATTGAATTGAAGAATGAGCTCATTATCTTATGAAGGTGAAATGAAATAAACATAAATACTGTAGATGAGGTGGATGCTAATTGGCCGATTTGACTCATCCTTCAGGTCTGCCTCATTTCTCCTCTGGGATTTTCCGGTGCTGGGGCCGAGACACTTTCATCGCCCTCAGAGGACTGGTGCTGCTCACTGGGAGACACATCGAGGCTCGGTGTGTGTGTGTGTGTGTGTGTGTGTGTGTGTGTGTGAGTGAGTGAGGAGCTCCGCGGATTCGTCCATT